ATTTTGAGCTATTGGGCTCATAATCACAAAAAATCTTTATCTGGGTGAAATTCATTTTATCACATAAAGATGTTATATAAACAAAATCCTTTGATTTGATACCAAAATCAGGGGTAGCGAAGCCTTCTTTGCCGAGTGATAAGCCCTTCGACATTTTTACCTTGATTGTGCACGAAAAACGTTACACGGAGCGACCACGGAATAAAAACGGAGGGCTTTAATGCGTCATTAGGTAACTATGGAGTCTCTATAGCAATTATTTAAAGTATAACAAAGACAAAGACTACTTTTAAAGCTATGGCTACAGAAAGAGACATTGCTTGCTTGTTAAATGAAGAAATAGGTCCTCGAGACAGTGACTATGTTGCTTTAGTTCTTGGGGACTACTTTGGTGATGAAACTAGTGGTAAGCTTATTCATAACACTGTTTACATACTAACTGTAAATAGCGGTTTGGTATCACAACAATGACATTCCATCACCTGTATAAATGCACAATATTATTATACTAAACTTAGTTATACAGTGTATTTCTTAATTGATAGAGACAGACTATGAAGCAGTAAAAGATATGGAAGAAGAGGTAGAAGGGAAAGAGAAGAGATAGAGACAAAAGATTGTGATAAAGATATTAATCCACCACTGTTTGATCCTGAGGTGGCTGTGGAGCTACAAGTATCAGATCTTGATTTAGAATCAGCAACGCCTGATGCTCCAGCTACTTCAACTATGCACTCTTGTGATGACATGAGGAAGCAAGACCTACAGGAGGAAGAATTATCAAAGTTCTTTGAACATGGATGTGGTTGCTCAGATAATTGCTATGCACTGTTCAGTCACTCTTACATAAAAACATATAGATGTGACAAACGAGCCATGGCAAAGCCTGTTCAAGAAATTGCTATTGAGTCAAATGGCAGCAACATCTACCATGGGGGGATTGTCGACTGGCAACCACAGGAAACAGAAAGAGAGAAAGAGGCAATTTTTACGTTCATGCATCAAGGTCATAAGGTTTGTGACTATGAGTGACACAACACAAAATTAATTGTTTTTCAACTAGATATGTAGAGTAACATTTCTAAAGCTACATGCATGTGGCAAAAGCAGGTTTGAGGAAATCATGAAAAACTACAGAATGAATGGATTAATACCAAGGTATGGGACTTACAAATTAAATGTTATGTACTTAAATTTATTAGAGTTCACGGAAATTCTGGAAAGACACCAAACCATGCTTTGACTTATAATATTCTCCGGGTTGTTGCTTTCATCAGAAATTATGCTAAAGTCCATGGAATCAG